CTGCCTCTGCCTCCCAAGTGGCTGGGACCACAGGCACCCGCCACAATGCCTGGCTATTTTTTGGTTGCAGCCATCATTGTTCTTTGGTGGGCCCAGGCTGGATTTGAACCCACCACCTTAGGTGTATGTGGCTGGTGACTTGGCCACTTGAGCAATAGGTACCAAACCTGTATCCGACTATTTTTAGAGACGGGGGCCTCACACTTGCTCAGGCTGGTTTTGAACCTGTGAGCTCAGGCAATCTATCCACCTCAGCCTTCCAGAGTGCTAAGGGAACTGCAAATTAAGGTGCCTTAAACATCAGTGTCCTGCTTTCAAAGGCACATATAATTATCTTTTGTATTCCTTTCCTGAGACATTCCTGCTACCAAGGTCATATCTCAAAGCTCAGTGGATCCTGCTGAAGACTTCAGTTCACCTAGGCCAAACAATAATGCCTCAGGTGGAAAAGTTTAGAGCTTAGTCAGAAAATCTCACCTTCCTCATAAAAAGTCCCCAACCCAGAAGATAGTAAAGAGAATATTCCCTGGAGGAAAGACATGGTAGAATTCACTTAGAAGGCCTTGGAGATGGGGCACCTGTGGCTCACCCCCATATACTGAGGGTGGTGGGTTTGAACCCGGCCCCAGCTAAACTGCAACAAAAAATAGCTGGGTGTTGTGGTGGGAGGCTGAGGCAAGAGAATCGCCTACTCCCAAGAGCTGGAGGTTGCTGTGAGCTGTGACACCACAGCACTCTACTGAGGGCAACAAAAGGAGACTGTCTCTTAAAAAAAAAAAAAAGAAGGGCTTGGAGATGAAATAGGGAAGGGGAAGCCATTCAAGGACGCACCCTCATGCTCCAGGTACCTCCTAAGTGGGAGCCAGTGAACTCAAGGGAAGCCATAGAAAAGAGGACTTCCCTCTCTGCTTACCAAAGGCCCACCTGAATTCTGAAACTTTCTTTCCATCCTGCAAACCAAGGGCCTATACCTACACATAGTAAAAGGATTCAGTAGATCCTTTCCTTCCTACTTGGTAGGCCTTGAGGAGACTGGCCTCCAATGTGGAAAAGGAGGGTGTAGAAACCCAGGCAACCAGTGGTGTTGAGCCTCCTGCTCAGGGACAGGACTAAATGTCTCCTTACATAGCGACTCCTCCTCTTGCAAAGTCACCTCCAAAGTGACCATACTCACCATACAAGTCCTTGAGTTCTCCCCAATAAATGAGTCCCTCAACACCTGTGTCAGCTTGCTCTCGCGGAATGGGGTGTGAGCCTTGTTCTGTCCCAGGGCCCTGATACACTCCTGTGGGGCAGCAGGAATAACTGAGATCTACACTTGCACTATTCCCTTCCCTTCCCAGTAGCCCCCCAGGCTGTCCGCTTCTAGCCCCTGCTACCTTCAGCGCCAGAAGACTCTTGTTGATTTCTGCACCCTCCATGCGGGTCTGCCGGTCAGCACTCGAAGTGTCCGCACCACGCTCATTCCCTGCCAGATCCACCAAAGAGAACTTGCCATGCATTCTCCCTTTGGCTCGAAGAAGAATCTGGAAGCAGGCATGGGAGCGGGAGGAGTTGGAGTTGGCAAACGTCTGCCCAGAGGTTCTATGGCAAAGGAGGGCAATGACAGGTTAGGAACTTTTAGGGTCACCAGCCTCTGTGGCAACCCAGTCTACAGCAGTAAGTTCTCTGGTATGGGAGGGACAGAGGTCAGGACTCCAAAAGCCCTGTGTCTTCCTGTCCCAGACCTTCCACGCCGTCCTCCTTAGGCAACAGCTCTCCCTCCAGCTCTAGACCTAATGCATATTCCAGGCAGCCAAATCAGTAATAGATTCTATGCTAGGGCTTTACCTAGACCTGGGAACCTATAAAGTTCTTGGGGAAGGATAAGCTGCCTCTGCTGAAGGGTACCCAGGGAAGAGGAAGCTATCATGAACCACTTGCCAAAACTTGAGGGCCTCACAGACAGAAGCCCCCTTTCTGGACATCCTTAACTGCCCAGCACCCACTATGCCAGGCCTAGAGGCCTGGGGAAGAGCACTCCCCCACTTCTATACAGAGGAACTATGGTAACATTAGTTCCAGCTCTGAATAGATGCAGAACAAAGGGTGGAAAAAGAAAGGAGATAACCACAAAAGCCAGGAAGCATGCCTTTGGGGTAAAAGCCTGCAAACAAACCCGTCTTGGTTAGATTTTATACACTTTGACTAGGCTTTGATAGCCTCTGGCCCTAGGTCATCTACCTCATTGATATCCCTTCC